AAATTATATACTCATTTGCTCAGTGGACACTTCCTCTACAATGTTTGCCAGTTTCTGTTAGTTGGAAGAAGTGTCAGCTGTGAGAAGACAAACTAGGTGGCACTTTGCAGTGTTTCCAGTAACCTGAACTGTATAAAATTTGTGTTAAAAAGCTACACTGGGCCGGGTGAAGTGGCTAACACCTGTAATCCTAGCATTTTGGGAGGCTGAGGCGGGTGGATCACTTGAGGTTGGGAGTTCAAGACCAGTATGGCCAACATAGCAAAACCCCATCTTTACTAAAAATACAAAAAAATTAGCCAGGCGTAGTGGTACGTGCCTGTAATCCCAGCACTTTGGGAGACCAAGGTAGGAGGATTGCTTGAGCTCAGGAGTTCAAGACCAGCCTGGGCAACATGGCGAAAGCCCATCTCTACAAAAAAATTCAAACATTAGCTGACATGGTAGCACACGCCTGTAGTCCCAGCTACTTAGGAGGCTAAGGTGGGAGGATCCCTTGAGCCCGGGAGGCAGAGGTTGCAGTAAGCTGAGTAAGCCAAGATCATGCTATTGCACTCTAGCCTGGATGACAGAGTGAGACCTTGTCTCAGTAAAGAAGCAGGGGGCAGGGGGAGAACCAAATGCCCTGTCCTCCAGTTCTCAGCTTGTAGAAGGGAGCTCTCTCATCTCCTAGCCACTCCTGCCTCACTATGCCATGCTTTCTCTAATGCACTCTGGGTCCAGGGACTGCTTGGCAGGAGGTGGGAAGAACAAAAAGTTTGGGGCCTTCCCAGTTTCTTAGGGCCTGTCTGGAGAGGAAACTAGCATTTACTGAGTTTTTACAATGTGTCACATACCATGTAAAGCCCTTTACCTACATTATTTCTTATACCTCAAACAGAGAGCAAACAAGTATCCCCATTTTTTAGTCACATAGAGTTCCAGAGTTGCCACGGTTACATAGCAGAGTCAGGATTTGAATCCATTGCAGACCACAAACACCATGGTTTTCTCTCCGAAGCAGAGCAGCTCCGGAGGTGGAGGTAACTGGAATGTCCTAGACTCAGTGGGACCAGGAGCAGGGGCTGCCAGCAGAGGCTCTCATCTCCCCCAGGGTCTTGTCAGTCAGAGCCCTAAACCCTTCAATTAACTATCCCTCTAATCCCAGCAGAAGCCTGGGTAATACCTCCCACCAAGAATCTGTGTGGAACCTGGCGCTATTTAGGGATTAGGTGATAGAGATAAATTTCCATGGCAAACGGCCCTCGTTCCCGTTCATTTGCAGAGCACAACAATCCAGATTAAGGTACAGAGTTTGGGTTTTATTTGGAGATTAGTTGGTATTACAGATGACGGTGATACCCAAACCCAGTGCTGCTGCACCCGCCTCATCCCAGATCTGTCAGGTTGTCTCTGCGGCCTCACGTCAGAGGGCAGCCAATCTGATCTTTGTGAAAATTAAATCAACATAAGCCCCAGCTTCCTGTCTTTGCTTTATTACTTTAATGCCACTCCGTCTTCACATCCATAGTTCTGATTAATTTGTCCACGTGGTCGACGGTCAGGAGAGGTGGCCCTGACCCATAAAGAAGGTGACTCCAGCAGTCTAGATGAGGAGCAGCATTCTCCTCTCCTACCTCACTTAGCAGTTAGCAAGGTAATGGCCTGGAGAGACCTCAGGAGACAGGAGCCTGCCCCTTCGGAGGGAGGAGGTCATCGGCTGGTGAGAACTGGGGACCAGGACTGGCAAGAGTGAAGGAAAACATTGCCCTCATCTCATCCTTCTAAAGGTACCTCCTGCCACAACCATGAGCATATGCCCCAAAGGGGTCAGGTGTGGGGTGGCAGGAGCTAGGCCCCAGTCTGCACAGGACCTGCATCTAGGCTGGCCTGGAGGCCAGTGGAAGGGAGGGATGCCTGAGCTAAATTCCTTTCCGATAGGGAACTCCTTTGCTTAAAAGGTGGGGCCGGGGGATCCACTTTTGATGTGTTCAGTCCCAGGAGGGGCAGGGTGGGCTACAGGAGTCAGAGGAGGGGTCTTGCAAGTTCTGGACCAAGACTAGGCGTGGTCCACATTGGTGACAATGGCCGAGGCATAGATGAGGTCAGACAGGCTGCCTAGTGAAGTCTGGGGAGTAGCTCGCTCTAAGAAAGGGTGGACCTCTGAAGCCCCACCTGGTCCCCGTGGGGCTACAGCTTTAGCCCCTTCCCAGCCCTGCCCTGGACTTAAGCCAGGAGCTGGACAGGAGGTGTATTGACACACTGAGGTACACTGAGGTGTGCTGCTGGAGAGTGGAGGTTGGCCTGGTATTTGGGGATCCCAGGGCTGCTGGAAGGTGTCTGGAAGAGAACAGGAGCTCTGGTGGGACTCAGGCCGGGGGCTTAGACTTCTTGACTTCCTGTTCTTGATTCTTTTGGCCCGGCGGTTCTGGAACCACACCTGCTAGGGAAGAAGAAGGAGTCTTCTGGCCCCAGCATCCCCTCCACCCAGGGACATGGGAAACAACCTGAAGGCAAGCTACCCAGCGAAGGGGCTGTGGGCCAAGCCCAGATGTTGGCTGTGTGAGAAGGGGTCGCAGCTCACCTGTATCTTGGCCTCAGGAAGGCGAGTGACCTGGGCCAGGTGCTCACGGGTGCTGATGTCGGGGTAGGGCCATGCTGCAAACGCCCTCTCCAGCTCCAGCAGCTGCCCTTTGCTGAAGGTGGTCCGCTTTTTCTGATGGGAACCCAACCCACTGCCACCGTCTGTGGGCCACGGTGGGGGTCAAGCCGGGACTTGCTGAAAGAGCCTCCACCCAGCTTCAAAGCCCTCACTCAACCCTGAAGTCCCTACTCCCATCCCTCTTCAACCTTCCCTCATCCCACCGTGCCCTGCGTCCTCACCCTGCCCACACTTCCCCCGTCAGATCACCTGCTGAGGACGCATCCACAGGGCTGGCCATGGAGCTGGCAAAGGGTAAGGTGCTAGAGGGCCATGCCAGGGCTGTGCCCACACCAGACCCCTCCATTTGGGTTTTATCCTGCTCAGGGTAGCTGGCCCCGCCTCCAGGAGGGGAGAGGTTTAGAGTCCAGCTCAAGCAAAGCAGAGAAGTCTCAGTGGGGAAGACTGGAGGCTGGGTTGGGCTTATGAGGGTATGGGTGGGGTAAATTGTGTACCACCTGCCCCTCCAGGGCCTCACAAAGGAAGCTGGACCCAGCATCCCTCCTCAAACCACAAACTCTGGCAGTCTGTACCTGAAATCCTATACTTCATGAAAATCCTCCCAGGGGTCCTTCCAGGAAGCCAAAGAAAACCATCTCTCCAGTGCTCCCAGGCACTGGCTGCCCCTTCTGGAGCCCTTAGTGCTCTGAACCTGGCTGCCTTCAGGGGAGAGGGGGTGGAGACCTCTCCTACAACTGGGGACTGGGCTGGTGAAGTGGGACAGGATGAGAAGGGTGGTAAGGTGACAACAGGATGAATGGGAGCCAGCTGCTGTCAGCGGGACTGGGGAACAGATGTCGTCACCAGGTTACCCTCAGGTCTGCTTTAGAACTTTGCCTGCATCTAACCCTTTCTCTCTCTGGCCCTTCAAGAGCCAGATGGACTTCCTGGGGTTCGGAACCTGGAACCAGAGGAGGTTCCACAGGTGCAGTTGAGGGGTTCTAAGAAAGATGATAAATACTATACACAATACTATGTGTATAGTATTCTCTTTCTTGGACATATTCTGAACCACTTTTTCCTTAAATTTTTAAAAGTTTGTTTGTTTGGTTTTTTTTTCCCCCAAGATGCAGTCTTGCTTTGTCACCCAGCCTGGAGTGCAGTGGCGCGATCTTGGCTCACTGCAACCTCCACCTCCTGGGTTCAAGCAATTCTCCTGCCTCTTCCTCTAGAGTAGCTGGGATTACAGGTGCCCACCACCACACCTGGCTAATTTTTTTTAGTAGAGACGGGGTTTCACCATGTTGGCCAGGCTGGTCTTGAACTCCTAACCTCATGATCCACCCACCTTGGCTTTCCAAAGTGCTGGGATTACAGGCGTGAGCCACTGTGCCTGGCCTAAATTTTGTTTTTCTCACTCTGTTGCCCAGGCTGGAGTACAGTGGTGTGATTTCTGCTCACTGCAGCCTCAACCTCCCAGGCTCAAGCAATCCTCCCACCTCAGCCTCCTAAGTAGCTGGGACTACAGGCACACACCACCCATAAGTTGCCCAGCTAACTTATTTATTTATTTTTTGTAGAGATGGTGTCTTGCTATATTGCCTAGGCTGGTCTCCAACTTCTGGGTTCCAGCAATCCTCCCACCTTGGCTTCCCAAAGTGCTCGAATTACAGGCATGAGCCACCATGCCCAGCCAAAAATTCCCTCCTTTTTTTGTTTTGTGCTGTTTTTAGAGACAGAGTCTCACTCTCTTGCCCAGGTTGGAGTGCAGTGGTACAATAATAGCTCATTGCAGCCTCAAACTCCTGGGCTCCTGGGCCACTTTTCCACGAGAAGTGTGTGCTTTTGAATTTCCTTTCAGTTTCTCCCCTTCACTATCTCTCCTGGTCTTGCTGCTCCCCATCCTAGACCCTAGACAGAGACCTCAAGAAAGTCTCACTCTAGGGGTGGGTTTGGGGAAGCACAGTGACTGCTTCCCCAAGTGCTCAGGAGCTGGAGCTACTATGATTTCAGATCAGGATGGACCAAAAAGCTGAGCCAGAACCTCACCACCTCTTGCCTCTCCTCCAAGACCCTAGTCAACTCCAAGGGGCAAAGCAAGCCTCACCCAAGGAAGCTGGCCTGGTAACTGTGTCACCATCAGAGGGGTTCAAGTGCCTGCTTAGCTGCTGGTGGGTTGCTGGGGGTTACTTAGCTCAAGAGGAAGAGTAGCTCTCAGGAGGCCTTCCCCAGTCCCATACTTTGGTTCACAGAGAAGTCCTGAGCCCAACATGGGTTGAACACAGCGAGGCCCTTCTCTGCCCCCTTCACCAACCCATTCTGACAGCCCAGCTTCCTCTCCTTTACCCAGGCAGGGATGTATCCACCCCAGTCAGGACAGTAGTCTTAAACTCAGGGACCTTTATTGGGCTGGGGGAAGGAGATTGGAGGAGGGAGCTACAGCGGGCCCAGCCTTGTGGGCTCTGCCTCCTACAGATGGCCAGGAGCTGGGCAGCCCAGCCAGTACTGGGCGATGGAGCGTGGGTAGGGAGGGTCCACAGCGTCCACTCGCCGTGTGCGGAGGTTGACTCGGTAGTACTTGTCTGGAAGAGAGGAAAGCAGAGGGTGCGTGAGGCCCAGCCTGGCCCTGCCCACTCTTCCCTTAAGAAAGTCTCAGAAGGGAAAGTGAACATCTACGATACAGCTAAGGACTTCTGGCCCGGCTTTCTGTGGTCACTACCTGCGGGCTGTATTCAGCCCTTATGGACCAGGGACAGCAAGGAAAACCCAAGCTAGAGCAGCTTCAGGGGTGGCAAGGGCTCCTACCTCCAGAGAAGAAGAAGACACTCTGGATGGGTTCACAGGTGGCAGGCACAAGCCAGTCCATCCTGTAGTCATCATAGTTGTTGGCTCCCAAGTTACTCTCCTCACTGGAGAACAAGGACAGCCACATGGTGCGGGATGGCCGGCGGGAGTTCTGGTTGCGGCCACGGCTGTGGCCTCGGTCTGAACGGTAGCCTTTGCGGTTGCGACGCCTAAACTTTTGCTTCTTGGCCAAGGAGGGGTGGGGTGCCATGCCTGAGACGTAGATGCGGCCAGCCATGGCTGCGTCCACTTGCCCTGGCACACCATGCCAGTCCCGGCTAATGAACTGGGGCTGTCTCATACCAGCTGTGGCAGGGAAGGGATGAATGAGAGGTCTTAGGGGTCCGAATCTTGCCCCCTCCAGCAAGGTCATTAGAGTTCATCTGCTGCATCTTGCCCAAAGACACACAGCAGCAAATGGCAGAGCCAGGCCTTTGATTCTCAGTCCAATGCCCTTCACTCTGTGCTCCCTCCACCATATCACTGGTGTATAGACCCCACCCCCCCAGGCCCCCTAAACTCCTCAGCCATAGCCCCTCCCTCTGCTGGCTGTGCCCTCGGCTGTGCTAGGCAAAGTCCAAGGTGTGGGGTCCAGGTAGAGCCGAGCTTCCCCCAAAAGTTCAACAGAAGCAAAGTCTGGCCTGAGCAAATAGACTTTGATCAATAGCTCCAAAACCACAGCCCCCTCCAGCCAACCTGGCTCTACCACTACCCAGGGGTTTCAGCCCTTTTGAGGGAGAAGAAAGACTTGCCCTCTCTCCATACCAGAGGTTCTGCCCCAGAAAAGAAGCTCGAAGATGTCCTCCCAGCTGTCCCGCTGCATCACGGCAAAGTGCTCAAACACAGCCGACAGGGAGCTACCTTCACACTCCTCCTGACTGGGCTGGTGCTGGAACTGGTACTCCCAGTACTGTTTCCCTGGGGAGCGGGGTGGTGGGCATTAGGAGGGCTGGGCCAGAGCCAGACTGGAGATCCCAGAGGCTGTTGAAGTTAGGATCTCCCAGCATGAGGTGGGGGTATGGGGTGGGCACATGCTGAGGCCTGTCCCCAGTGAAGTGTGAAAGGAATCCAAGACTGCTTCACTGCCTGCTCAGTCTCCCACCCACCCCCTGAGTACCCTTGAAGAAGTAGACCCGCTCCCTGCCACTGTAGCTATGGGCAGGGAGGGCCAATGCTGCGTCCACATTGTCTGGGATGCCATCGAAGCCATCAGAGATATTTCGGGGGTAATCAGGGTCCAGGACACCATCCTCAAAGCGCCAGTACTGACTACCCTAAGAGGTGGGGAAAGTGAAAAGGGGTATGGAGGCTGCTGGCTAGGCACAGAGGCAGAGTCCCTTGCCCTAAGGCAGCTGTTCCCAGGTTCAGGTTCACTGCCCAGGACCTGGAGTCTTGGGGCTGCCCTGTGCTCACAGAGCACCCACCAGGTCCTGCAGCGCCCTGGGTCCAGCCTCCCTGTCCACCCTGTCCCTGGGAGCAATAGCTCTCAAACCCTCCCTAGATGCTTTCTACCCTGGTCCACAGCTGCTGGCACCTTGAAGAGGTAGGTCTTCCCCTGACAGTTGATGCGGGTGAAGGCGGCATCAATGGGGCCCTCGATGCCCCAGACATCTCGGATGAGCTTGGGGTACCCAGGCCTCACTGCCTTTTCATCCAGTTCATAGCAGTACTGCCCTAGAGTGGAGGAGGTGGTGTGAGAGCGGGGACGCTCCTGGGGCAGACCCCCATCCCCAGTACCTGCCCTGGATTCACCTCGGAAGGCAAAGAGGGAACCGTTCTTGAGGTCGGTGAAGGCGTCGAAGGGTTTCCCACTGCATAGCTCCTCCTCTGCTGGGAGCTCAGGGGTCCCTGGAGGAAGGGTCTCGGGCCTTGAGTCCGTCCCCTTGGGCTTAGAGATGCCCACCTCAGGTGTAGGGGATTCTTCCTCAGGGTTCAGAACAGTTGCCTGCTCAGGATTCCCTTCAGGCTGGGCCTGGAGGTCAGGGCTCGGGGAGGAGCCCTCCGGCTGTTCGTGGATGGTGGCATTGTTTTTCTCCTCACCGTCGTCATAGATCGCATACTCATCCTCCGGCATAGTGAACACATCCCCACGAGTCACTGCAGAGAGTGGATGGTAGTGAGTCTCCAGCTGCAAGGGGCACCCCAGCCCACCCACCTGGGCTCTGAACACACCTTGGGGCTTGCACTCAGCCGTATAGTCTGTGCAGCAGCTCTGGTAGTAAGAGCAGAGCTCATCACACTGGCACTTCTTGTCAGCATTGAAGCCCTCAGTGCAGCGGCCTTTGCATGACTCTTTGAGGAAGGGGTGTCAGTAGGTGCCGCCAAGCCCGGGCCACCCTCGCCCTCCCTACATTGACCCAGATGACCACCAACACCCCCCTGTACCTTGGTCAGCCACAGCAACCCATGCCAGCAGGGCCAGCATGAGAAGGGGTCTCAGGGGTGCCATGGTGGGACTTCTAGCTCAGTGCCTGGCAAGCTGGGCTCTGATCTCCCTGAAGTCTCCGCTCTGATGCCTGAGGAAGGGAGGGAGAGGCAGAGACAGGGAGGGAGAGGCAGAGACAGGGAGGGAGGGGACTGAAGAAGAGGAACTGCCTTTTCTGCTGCTCTGTTTGCTCAACCTCCAGCCCATCCCCTCTGCCCCCTCCAGCGGCTGCTGCAGCAAAGGTCACATTCCTGGAACACTGGGCCTGGGAGAGCTGGGAGATAAGACCTTTGCCAAGCTCAGAATCATTAGGTCATCAGATGGGGAATTAGCACCGCGGATCTGGAGGCCAGAAAGAAGGCTCATTGGGCAACAGCTTTATCTCTCTGAGTCTTAGTTCAGTTTCAGTAAAATGGGATTAACCCCCTTGCCTCATGGGGTATTGGGAGATTACATGAACTGGAACAGACAAAATGCCCAGTAGCTGGAGCAGTCACAAATTCCTTCTCCAAACATAGCTATTGATCCATGATCGTTTGATCAGACACATCCCTGGCTGGGTGCTCATTCGCCATTGTTTATTTAGGGCAGGAAAAAGGGAGTGAGAGGAGAGTTTGTAAGCACTCTGGGGAATTTTCTTTTTTAGCATAAAAGAACAAAGTTTCATTTCTGGGTTCTTCTCTTGGATGCATCAATCTCCCCAGGCTGGAATTTTGGGTAAATATCAACCCACTGAACTAGATTTGATTTCTGAGTCTTTTCTGAGCAGGCCACTCCCTGTCCCCAGCCTCAGTCTTCCCATCTGTAAAGAGTGGGCTTGTTCAACACACTTTTAGACTCTCAAGAGAAATATGATCCCTCTACCTGGAAAATGCCCACTGGTGTGAAACACCTGATTTTGTGCCCAATTTCAGGTGTCCACAGAGCTTCTGAAATCCTCCCATCACCTGAAAAAAAAGTGATCCTGAGATTTTAGCTGATTTTTCTGTTCTGTACTCAGAGGGGACTGTGATTTTGGCCAATCTCTTCCTCATGGGCTTCAGTGGAGTCAGCTGTGGAATGGAACACCGATTCCCACCCCAGAGGCATGTTGTGAGGTTTCGCTGAGAAACAGGCATAAAAGGGCCTTAAGAGTTACGATGATTGTTTTAACCACTTAGTAGGGAGGGGGCACGCAGCGGTGTTGCTCCCACGTACCGGTGTCACACGGGGCGGGGAAGAGGGGGTGGAGAACGGAGACTGTCATCTCATTTTCGACCCCCTTCCTCAAGTCCAGCGCAGGAGGAGGCGGCTGCGACTGAGGGGCTGGGGAAGGCTGGCCAGGGGCGTGGGCGTGGCTGGGGACGACGTGGGGGAGCTGCGCAGGAGGCTGGAGGAGCCCCGCTGGACCCAGAGGCGGGGCATGAGCCCCGGGTCCGCTGCGGTTCCGGGGCGTGGCTGCTGCCGAGCATCTCCCAGCTCAGCCGAGCCTCTGCTCGGGCAACGCTTTGTTCCAGCCGCCGCCTCCTCTACCCTCCGGCGTCCGGAGCCATCCCTCGCCTCCTCGCTCTCTCCTTTCGCCCACTCCCTGCATCTTGGCCTGCATCACCTTTGCCAACCGCTGCACCCCCGATCCTGCCCTCACTCCTCCCTCAAACTTCTGACCGGCACCCTTGCCTGGTACCCTTCTCTCTATTCCTCCCCCTCCATCTTCTTCCCCCGACCCCTCTCGGGTCCCTCTTTTCCCAAAACCGGGGTCTCTCCGCGCGGCCCCCGCCTCCAGGCCGGGGATGTCCCCCGCGGCCCCGCGCCCATGGTTCTGACGCTGCTCCTCTCCGCCTACAAGCTGTGTCGCTTCTTCGCCATGTCGGGCCCACGGCCGGGCGCCGAGCGGCTGGCGGTGCCGGGGCCGGATGGGGGCGGTGGCACGGGCCCATGGTGGGCTGCGGGCGGCCGCGGGCCCCGCGAAGTATCGCCCGGGGCAGGCACCGAGGTGCAGGACGCCCTGGAGCGCGCGCTGCCGGAGCTGCAGCAGGCCTTGTCCGCGCTAAAGCAGGCGGGCGGCGCGCGGGCCGTGGGCGCCGGCCTGGCCGAGGTCTTCCAACTGGTGGAGGAGGCCTGGCTGCTGCCGGCCGTGGGCCGCGAGGTAGCCCAGGGTCTGTGCGACGCCATCCGCCTGGACGGCGGCCTCGACCTGCTGTTGCGGCTGCTGCAGGCGCCGGAGCTGGAGACGCGTGTGCAGGCCGCGCGCCTGCTGGAGCAGATCCTGGTGGCTGAGAACCGGTGAGCGCGCCGGGCCGGGGTTGGGAGAGCGCCGCGTGGTGTGGACGGTCAAGCGCCTGGGTTCCCGTGTGCCTCGCGCCGTGCCTTTGCCTCCCTCACCTCTCTGCCTGCCTGCACTACATCTCTGTTAGGATCAGCATGTCCGTTTCACAGATAAGGAAACTGAGGCTTAGGAAAGTTTAGTGACTTGCCCAGTGGGTCACAGTGAACTAAGATTTGCTCCCAGGGCTAGTGGAGTGAGGAATGGAGTTAGAGGATAGGAGTCCGTCCCTGGCTCTATGGATGGAGATGGCATCCTATTGCCAATTCTTCCTCTCCCCCGTCTCCCAAGCCCACAGCTCTCCTGCCCACCGGCTTGGGTTCCCTTCTAGGACACCTTCTTTCCCCGACATCCCATCCCCCTCCCAATGGGAGAAGAAGGGAAACACAATGCTCAGAAAAGAGGGAGGGAGAACTCTCCTTTCTCTCCTCCCCAGGCTGCAATGCGAGCTGGCCTGAGGCTGCTTACTCCCTTCTTGCCTCCCCAATCCAACTTCTGCTCCATCAGTCATTCTGGTTCTTGTAACAGGCCAGATATGATCTCATTCTGCGGCTCCTGATGGGAAACAGTTTTCTGCTGTGAGGCATGGGTGGGGGAAGAGGACATCGGGGTGTGGAGCCCGGCAGGGACCAGGCGGAGTGTGTGTTCTCTCCCTCTACCCCACTTAGCACCAAGACGCTGCAAGAGGGTCAAACAGAGGCCTCGTTGCCACTCTTGCATGTCTCTTGGGATCTCTCCTGGAGTATGAAGACCTCCAAGGACTCACTTTCCCTCCCTTCTGATGCCAGAGCAGACCAAGCTGTCACAATCCAGTCTCATGGTGAAGTCTCGAGCTTCTCAAGCTTAGAAGAGTTTTTGGAAGAGTCACTTTCAGCTCATGCAGCTCTCACAAGTGTGAAGGGAGTGGGTTGGGGGTGTTTTCCTTGCCATTTTCAAAAAGAAAAAAATTACCTTGTGATTGCTGGAAATGACACAACTGTCAAAAATGCATGAATTAAGCAATTTAGGTTGGGAAACCAAGATAGGGTTCTGCTTATTTGGCAAGCCATTAACCTCCCATCTGACATCCGATGCCATGATTGGGATAGGCCATGAATTTGGAGGGGATAGCAAATAAAATATGTGTGTGCTCACTGGGTGTGGTGGGGTCGAGACTGGTAGGTGTGCCCTGCAGGCTTGCGATGTGGAGTCAGGTAGCTATAACTACAATCCCTGGAGAGTGAGTACAGCCAGCACCCCAAGGAGAGGAGGGCTGCAAGATGCAAACAGTACTGTTATATTTCAAGGTTAAAAATGACAATTCTCACCTGGTTCAGAGTTACTGAGAGAAGAGTCACTAACCAGTGTCCCTGGTACCAAGAAACATCACGCTGGTATCTTCAGGACCAAGGACAGAGCACAACGTGGCTGGTTGCTATCACAATGCCTCCAAAGAAAAGCAGGGTCGCCGCCAGGCGCCTTGGCTCACGCCTGTAATCCCAGCACTTTGGGAGGCCCAGACGGGTGGATCACCTGAGGTCAGGAGTTTGAGACCAGCCTGACCACCAGCCTGACCACCCAGCCTGACGGGGTGAAACCCCGTCTCTACTAAAAAATACAAAAATTAGCTGGGCATGGTGGCGGGCATCTGTAATCCCAACTACTGGGGAGACTGAGGCAGAAGAATCGCTTGAACCCGGGAGGTGGAGGTTGCAGGGAGCTGAGATCGTGCCATTGCACTCCATCCCACCCTGGGTGACAGAGCAATGGGTGACAAAGCAAGACTCCGTCTCAAAAAAAAAAAGGCACTGTCCCAACCAGGTGTAGTGGTGCAATGGCTCACGCCTATAATCCTAGCACTTTGGGAGGCCAAGGCAGGCAGATCACTGAGGTCAGGTGAAACACAAAAATTAGCCAGGCGTGGTGGTGCGTGGTGTGTGCCTGTAACCCCAGCTACTCTGAAGGCTGAGGCAGGAGAACTGCTGGAACTCGGGGGGCAGAGGCTGCAGTGAGCTGAGATTGCGCCACTGCCCTCCAGCCTTGGCAACAGAGTGAGACTGCATCTCAAAAGAAAAAAGAAGGGCAGTATCCCTGCACCCCCTGTAGGCTGCATGAGAATGGAGCTGGAAGGAAGAGAAGGGAAGTGACACAGTGAGAATGTGTTTATGAAACTTTTTTCTCCTTCACCAACCAAGCCCCCACTTCCTCATCTCAAAGAAGGCTCTTCTGGGCAAGCATGGTGGCTCATGCCTTTGGGTGGGTGGATCACTTGAGACCAGGAGTTCAAGATCAGCCTGGGCAACATGGCAAAAACCCATCTCTACAAAAAATATACAAATTAGCCGGGCGTGATGGCATGCACCTGTAGTCCCAGCTACTCAGGAGGCTGAGGTGGGAGGATTGCTTGAGCCCAGGAGGCGGAGGTCACAATGAGCTGAGATCATGCCACTGCATTCCAGCCTCAGCGACGGAGCAAGACATTGTTAAAAAAAAAAAAAAAAAAACCTCTTCCATCAGTGCGCCCACCCCTTTTTGCCACTTCCCTGTTGCTTTCTTCTCAGGATGCTATTGCACCCATTGTCAAGGAGCCTAGGTCACAGTTTTCCTGACTTCCAACTACCAGAAGTTCAACAGAATATGGTTCTTAAAATCTGGCCCCACAACACCCAGTGAGGGCCCCATATGACTGCTAGCCCTTACAGTCCACCCCCTTCAGGGGATCTTAATGAAGCTATCCTCAGAGTAGTTAAATGGCTTTCCCAGGAATATGCAATGAATAAATGGAGGAGACAGGTTTTTAAAATCACAGAAAGGCTGCCGGGAGCAGTGTCTCATGCCTGTAATCCCAGCACTTTGGGAGGCCCAGGTGGGTGGATTGCCTGAGGTCAGGAGTTCGAGACCAGTCTGGCCAACATGGTGAAACCCCATCTCTACTAAAAATACAAAAAAATTAGCCAGGTGTGATGACGTGCACCTGTAATCCTAGCTACTCAGGAGGTTGAGGCAGGGGAATTGTTTGAACCAGGGAAGTGGAGATTGCAGTGAGCCGAGATCATGCCACTGCACTCCAGCCTGGGCAAGAGTGAGACTCCATCTAAAAAAAAAAAAAATCATGAAAGCCATTGCATATAAATTCAAAAAAGTGGAAAAGCACAAAAAAGGTATACAGTTAAAAGTTCTTCTTGACCAGGCATGGTGGCTCATGCCTGTAATCTCAGAACTTTAGGAGGCTGAGGCAGGAGGATTGCTTGAGCCCAGGAGTTTGACTGAAACCAGCCTGGGCAACATAGTGAGAGCCCTGTCTCAATTTTTAAAAATTAAATTAAAATTGTTTTAAAAAAGTTCTTCTCAACCAGACCCCCTCTCTGGAGATAAATCACTGTAAGAAGTTTCTTGTATATCCTTCCAGAGAGAGTCTTTGCATATACAGGCATTTGCATGTATATTATATAGACATGTTTGCAATATATATATACAATCTTTCCCTCCTTTGGAGCTGGAATTTGAATCCAGACCTGTGTAATTCTAAAATATGTGCCCATTTCACCAGACCCACAGCCTCTCAGACCACAGAAGAACTGGGAGCTGGGTGAGTAGTTATCACAAGAGTGCAGCACAGTTCCACTCTGTAAAGGTGCCAGGTTCATAGGGAAAGGTGAGGGCTGGGGCATCAGGAGACTCAAAATAAACTCCTGGCTCTGAATTGATATGTTCCTGAGCAAGTCCTTCCCTTCACTGGGCCTTAGGTAAGTACTCTGAATATGAGGGTATTGGCTGGCCGGGCGCGGTGGCTCAAGCCTATAATCTCAGCACTTTGGGAGGCCAAGGCGGGCGAATCGTTTGAGGTCAGGAGTTCGAGATTGCCTGGCCAACATGGTAAAACTCTGTCTCTACTAAAAATACAAAAAAAAAAAAAAAAAAAAAAAAAAAGAGCCAGGCGTGGTGGTACATTTCCATAATCCCAGCTACTTGGGAGGCTGAGACATGAGAATCAGTTGAACCTAGGAGGTGGAGGTTGCAGAGCTGAACCCAGGAGGAGGGTTGAGGAGTTGAGGATCACGCACTGCACTCCAGCCTAGGTGACAGAGTGAGATCTCGTCAAAAAAAAAAAAAAAAAAAAAAGAAAGAAAAAAGAAAAAAAAGAAAGAAAGAAAAGAAAATAAGGATGTTGGATTAGATGATTTCTTTCTCATCTTTTTTGTTTTTTGTAGAAACTGGGTCTTGCTATGTTGCCCAGGCTGGTCTCAAACTCCAGGACTCAAGCAATCCTACTGCCTTGGGCTCCCGAAGTACTGAAATTACAGACATGAGCCACTGCATTCAGCCAGATTAAATAATTTTCTTATTTTGTTTTTTATTTTTTTATTTATTTATTTAATTTTATTTATTTATTTATTTATTTATTTATTTATTTTTTTTTTTTTTGAGACGGAGTCTCGCTCTGTCGCCCAGGCTGGAGTACAGTGGCGCAATCTCAGCTCACTGCAAGCTCTGCCTCCCGGGTTCACGCCATTCTCCTGCCTCAGCCTCCCGAGTAGCTGGGACTACAGGTGCCCGCCACCTCGCCCGGCTAGTTTTAGTATTTTTAGTAGAGAGGGGGTTTCACTGTGTGAGCCGGGATGGGATGGTCTCGATCTCCTGACCTTGTGATCCACCCGCCTCAGCCTCCCAAAGTGCTGGGATTACAGGTGTGAGCCACCGCGCCCAGCCTGTTTTTTATTTTTTGAGATGGAGTCTCCCTCTGTCACCCAGGCTGGATTGCAGTGGCACGATCTTGGCTCACTGCAACCTCTGCCTCCCAGGCTCAAGTGATTCTGATGCCTCAGCCTCCCGAGTAGCTGGGATTACAGGCACCTGCTACCACACCCAGTTAGTTTTTGTATTTTTAATAGAGATAGAGTTTCACCATGTTGGCCAGGCTGGTCTCGAACTCCTGACCTCAAGTGATCTGCCCACCTCGGCCTCCCAAAGTGTTGGGATTACAGGCGTGAGCCACCATGCCTGGCCACATTATATATTTCTTAAGCACATCCTGGCTCTTATATTCTAGGCATTTATGTAGTCAGATGTGTGGAAATGCAAAGTGAAGGTGAAGGATCTTGAACTCTGGAGACAGGCAGATCTGGTTTCAAATCTCAGCTGTGCCTCTCAGAAGCTGTGTGACTCTGGGCATGTCATGTAACCTCTCTGAGTTTTGGTTTTCTCACTGGTAAAAGGAATAATTGGGCCAGGCGAGGTGGCTCACACCTGTATTCCCAGCGCTTTGGGAGGCCAAAGTGGGAGGATTGCTTGAACCCAGCAATCCTGGGAGTTTGAGACAAGCCTGGGCAACATAATGGGATCCTGTCAAACAATCCTACAAAGTAAAATAAAACAAAACAAAATAAAAATCAGCCAGACATGGTGGTACATGTCTGTAGTCCCAGCTACTCAGGTAACTGAGTTGGGAGGATCAGTTGAACCTAGATGGCCAAGGCTGCAGTGAGCTGTGATCATGCCACTGCACTCCAGCCCAGGTGACAAAGTGAGACCCCATCTCAAATTGAAAAAAAAAAAAAATACAAGAGGAAGAAATAACTGTAGTTCCAGCAGCCTCTATGAATGATTAGGACCCATCTGTTTCTTTGAAGATAGGCTGCCGAGAAGCTATGGGGTCAACTCAGCAAATCTGTGCCGGCCTTATGGCATGTTCCAGACTCAGCTAGGTTCTGCAGTGGACACAAAATCACATGCACTATGGTCACTGTGGTGCCCTCTGGGCAAGGACTCCATTGCTGACTGGGCCTCTATCTCTTTGGCAGTAATGTCACCTGTGGAGGACATCACCTTTTTTTTTTTTTTTTTTAGATGGAGTCTCACTATGTCACCCAGGCTATAGAGCACTGGTGCAGCCTCAGCTCACTACAACCTCTGCCTCCCGGGTTCAAGTGATTCTCCTGCCTTAGCCTCCTGAGTAGCTGGGATTACAAGCGCACACCACTACACCTGGCTTATTTTTGTAATTTTAGTAGAGATGGGGTTTCACCATGTTGGCAAGGCTGGTCTCAAACTCCTGACCTCAAGTGATCCTCCTGCCTTGGCCTCCCAAAGTGCTGGGATTACAGGCATGAGCCACTGTGCCCAGCCATCTGTGGAGGACATCATTTGTGGAGGTCAGTAAGGCAGGAAGCCTGAAGCTCTACCAGGATGTGGCAACTCTCCCACCTGCTCAACGGGCCTCCAAGTTCTCTCTATTGGATCTGTCCTCTCCACCATAGCCAGACTGAATTTTCTAAAACCCAAACATGGCCAGGCTACTCTCCTCCCTGCAGTGGCTTCTCTTTGACATCAAAATAGAGTACAAATGCCTTGAGGTGCTTCAAAAGGCCTCCAGGTCCAATCTCTTTTCACTCTCCCCTTGAATTTTCTGCCTCAGCCATGAAAGTGTGGGCAGCTCCCCAAGTGCACCGGCTCTCCAACACCTCCAACTCTTTGCATATACCTGTGCCTGAAATGCAATCTCTCCTTCTCCTCCTGACTAGTGCCCCCACTATTCTCTTGCCCTTACTCCATAGGGAACCATTCAGTATATCTAATGTGTATCTTTCTATCTGTGTTCTGCTAAAATCTTTAAATCTTTATTCTTGGTTTTGTGTACATGTATTTTTAATGTATATAAATGGTGCTGTCATATAGCACATTCTATTTCTTACTTTTTCCCACTCAGTATTGGGTTTTGTTGGGGGTTTTCTTTTGGTTTTTTTTTTGTTTGGTTGGTTGGTTGAGACAGGGTCTCGCTCTGATGCCCAGGCTGGAGTGCAGTGGCCCAATCATGACTCACTGTAGCCTCAACCTACTGGGCTCAAACTATCATCCTGCCTCAGCCTCTCAGGTAGCTGGGACTACAGGCCTCTGCCACCATACCTGGCTAATTTTTTGATTTCGTAGAGATAGGGGTTTGCTACCTTGCCCAGGCTATGTTGTCCTGGTTCATGTTGCTGTGTTATCACCCGCTCAGTCACTTGGACCTCCCCCCAAATCCTACAGAGTGGGCACCTGCCTATGTGACCTGACTCTCCCCAGGCTTGCTACTGATTGCCTCCAACTTCCTCACACTACAAATGACACTGCAGTGAACATCCTTGTCTAAGTGCTCTTGTCTATCTATACGATAATCTCTTTGGCAAAGGTTGCCTGTACTGTTCAACTTCTAATTTTGCCCATCTAACAGGTGTAAAGTGGTAGCTGGTTTTCTGTTTGTTTGTTTTCTGCCAGTGAACATTTTATTCAAGGTATGTGTGTGGAGCGTGGTCAGGGACAAAGGAGAGTGGAAATGACCTTTGAAATAAAATAAAATGATTTAGGTGAAGAAACTCTAGGAAAGGGTAATTTTCTCCATTTAGATCATTTTAAGAAAGAAAATGGGCTGGGCGCGGTGGCTCAAGCCTGTAATCCCAGCACTTTAGGAGGCCGAGACGGGCGGATCACGAGGTCAGGAGATCAAGACCATCCTGGCTAACACGGTGAAACCCCATCTCTACTAAAAAATACAAAAAACTAGCCGGGCAAGGTGGCGGGCGCCTGTAGTCCCAGCTACTCAGGAGGCTGAGGCAGGAGAATGGCGTGAACCCGGGAGGCGGAGCTTGCAGTAAGCCGAGATCCGGCCATTGCATTCCAGCCCCAGCGACAGAGCGAGACTCCGAGACTCCGTCTCAAGAAAGAAAGAGAGAAAGAGAGAAAGAGGGAAAGAGGGAAAGAAGGAAAGAAAAGAAAGAAGGAAGGAAGGAAGGAAGGAAGGAAGGAAGGAAGGAAGGAAGGAGAGAGAAAATGACAGATAAAGTTTCTGCTCTATGGAACTAACAAACAAGTAGACTATTAATATAATATCAGGTATTAAATGCCCTGAAGACAATAAAATAGGGTAATGAATTAGAAAGTGATGGGGAAAAGCCTTTAGATTGGATGATTGGAAGGAAGTAACATTTGAGCAGACATTGAAATGATGAACCATGAAGAGGATTTTGTTGAAGAACATTTCAGGTAGTGATAGCTATTGTTTTAATTTTCATTTCTCTGATTACTAATGAGTTAGAGCATCTGTTTATCTGCTTGTTCAAATTTTGGATTTCCTCTTGTCAATTGCCTGTTTATGTCCTTTGCCCATTTTCTTTTGAATGTATTGCCTTTTTCTTCTTGATTTGAATATTTGCTGATATATTCTACATATAAACCCCTCATTGATTTTTTCTTTTCTTTTTGTTTTCTTTCTGTCTCTCTTTTTTATTTTTTTCTTTTGACACAGGGTCTCACTTTATTGTCCAGGCTGGTCTCAAGTGAACCTCCCACCTTGGCCTCCATGTGCCAGGCATTGTGCCAAGCACTCTACAGGCATGAGCCACCTTGCCCAGCCTGGTTTTATATTTTCCCTTGTTGGTTTTAGACATTGCAATACCTCTGGCATTCTTTCTATTCCTCAAACACATCAGCTCCTCTGCCCTCAGGCCTTCATCCTTGCTCCTCTCTCTACCTGTTATGCTCCTCCCAGATATTTGCATGCAGGGATTCTCCACATTAAGCTCTCAGATGTCACCTCTTCACACATACCCCTCCTCCAGGCACACTCCATCACATCATCCTGTTTTGCTAGCGCCAAGGCCCTATCACTACAGTCTGGTTCACTCATTGTTTTCTTGTCTATGTCCTCCTCCATCGCTCTGAGGATAAGCTCCAGCCAGTCTCAGTTAAACCTCAGCCCATAGTGCAGTGCCTGGCCCAGGGCAGGTCCTCAGGAAACATCTGTTGAATGAATGAATACATGTGCCCCAGTCATGGGCCATGGAATGAGGAAAAGGCAAGGCTAAGAGTGGTGTGCTTCAAGTGACACTTCAAATTAGGACAAGTTAATATTTGTTGAGTTTTTACCATGTGCCAGGCATTGTGCCAAGCACTCTATATGGCTTATCTCATTAGTCCTGATAATAATCCTATGAGGCAGGTATTTGTATTTTCTATTTATGAGATAAGGAAAGCAAGGTAGAGAGATAAAGGAAGCTGCCCAAAGGTCTCCTTTATCCTAGTTAGAAAACGGGCTGAGAAGAAACCAGGACCCAGGGGATCTGCTCCTGAGCTGAGGCTGTTAGCCACCACACATACTGCCTCTCAAGGGGAGGAATGAGGGGGAGAATGGCTGTGGCCAGGATAGAACACCCTTAGAATCCGAGAAGTGGGGTCCTCCCAGGGGAGGAGGTGAGGGTGGGGAGCAGGGAGGGGAATCCTATCCCCTATATGAGGCCAGTGAGGCCCAGAGAGGGTTAGTGACCAGGCCCCAAACAGGCAAGCCAAGCTCCACAAGCTGCGGCAATTCCACCGTCCCCTTCCACTTTCACTGGGCAGGGACCGCGTGGCGCGCATCGGGCTGGGCGTGATCCTGAACCTGGCGAAGGAGCGCGAACCCGTAGAGCTGGCGCGGAGCGTGGCAGGCATCTTGGAGCACATGTTCAAGCACTCGGAGGAGACGTGCCAGAAGCTGGTGGCGGCCGGCGGCCTGGACGCGGTGCTGTATTGGTGCCGCCGCACGGACCCCGCGCTACTGCGCCACTGCGCGCTGGCGCTGGGCAACTGCGCGCTGCATGGGGGCCAGGCGGTGCAGCGGCGCATGGTGGAGAAGCGCGCAGCAGAGTGGCTCTTCCCGCTCGCCTTCTCCAAGGAGGACGAGCTGCTTCGGCTGCACGCCTGCCTCGCAGTAGCGGTGTTGGCGACTAACAAGGAGGTGGAGCGCGAGGTGGAACGCTCGGGCACGCTGGCGCTCGTGGAGCCGCTTGTGGCCTCGCTGGACCCTGGCCGCTTCGCCCGCTGTCTGGTGGACGCCAGCGACACAAGCCAGGGCCGCGGGCCCGATGACCTGCAGCGCCTTGTGCCGTTGCTCGACTCTAACCGCTTGGAGGCGCAGTGCATCGGGGCTTTCTATCTCTGCGCGGAGGCTGCCATCAAGAGCCTGCAAGGCAAGACCAAGGTGGGTGCAGATGTGGGGTTGGGTGGATCAGGGGTTAGAGAGCCTTTGGGAAGGTTTCCCAGAGGAAGTCACATTCAACCGGGTCTTGAAATACACATCAGAATTAGGTGAAGCAAGACAAAGACGGCGGGGGGCGGGGAGCCAGTCATTTTGATCTTGAAGGCAAGTCCCAAAGTTTGAACTTGGGTTTGGGGGCAAGAGGAAGACACTAAGAAGTTTTTAAGCAAGGGAACACTTGTGTTTTACAAAGATCATCCTAGCTGCTGTGTGGAAAGGGGCTTGGCAAGGGTGAGGGTGGAGGCAAGGCAACCTAATAAAAGACTATGTATGACTTGAAGGGGTGGGCGTTGGGAGAAGGGGGAGATAGCGACGCCAGTGGCAGAGAGCAGATTCAAGAGTTGTTTAAGAGATGGAGTGAGCACTTGGTGACTGAGAGAAGGAGAGAGAGGAGCTGAGGATGACTGCTGGCCCTGAACATAGGCAATGAATAAGGTGAACTGGGTGACAGACAAGTGGAAGTGGGGAAGGGGAAGAAAGTGACTTCTGCAGGACATATGGAGTTTGAGATGCTTGAGAGATGCCCAGCTGGGGAGCTTCAGTGGGTAGTTTAGCCTTTTGAGTCTGGAGTCTGGGAAGATGGCCGCTAGAGACAGAGGCTTGGGGCTTGGGACAGGACATCAGTGTGTCAGCCAGATAACCCCCACCAGAGTCCCAAGGGGTCCTCATGTCCAGGATCTAATCTACCAGTGACCTTTGCCCACTGCTTTAATTTGCTGTGTGACCTTGAGCACCTGGCTTCCCCTCTCTGGGCCTCTATCTGGGCCTCATTTTTATCTTGTGAAAAATTCAATAAATTGAACCACAGCGGCAGTTCTTACCCTGGATGTGGGATAATGATAGTTTTAGCACCGAAAGTTTGTGGATTGTACTTTTTGGAAACAGAGTTCTACTATATTGCCTAGGCTGGCATCAAACTCTCAGGCTCCAAGTGATCCTCTCTGCCTCAGCCTCCCAAGTAGCTGGGACTACAAGCACGCACCACATCCCCAGCTGGGCTTTGTTTTTAAAATATTACAGGTTGAAGATTCTCCCTACAATGTCACTCTTCTTTGCATTTTTCTGTGGAGCCTTGGAGGTTGGTGATAGCTGGTGCACAGGGATGTGGTGCATACCCCATGGCCCACCTTGTCTGTACCCCAGCTGTCATCGGGGGGTGCTCAAAGGTGTGTATCTTACAGATGATTGTCACCCATCATGTGTTTGCCTACAGATAAAAAGGAGACTGCTGGTTGGATGAGGTGGTTCACGCCTGTAATCCCAGCACTTTGGGAGGCCGAGGCAGGTGGATCACTTGAGGTCAGGAGTTCAAGACCAGCCTGGACAACATGGTGAAACTCTGTCTCTACTAAAAATACAAAAATTAGCTGGGCATGGTGGCAGGTACCTGTAATCCCAGCTACTCGGGAGGCTGAGGCAGAAGAATCACATGAACCTGTGAGGCAGAGGTTGCAGTGAGCCGGATCGCACCACTGCACTCTAGCCTGGGCTACAGAGCAAGGCTCCGTCTCAAAAAAGAAAAAAAAAAAAAGGAGACTGCTATGTTAGGGGGGTCTCTGGGGCCTCTTTCAACATCCAGTGTTCTAGGTACTTCTGATTCTTCTCTCTGCTCTCCAGAGCTGGGTCAGGGAGGACTTGCTCTATAAGGCAGGTCATTCTGCTTAGGGAGAAGGGTCTTAAAGGAAGTAGGGAGTGAGGACCCCAAGGATTAGATCTGGGCAGCAATCAGGATCACCAGCCTGTCACCCCTTTCCCATCGAGGCCAAGTGAGTCCAGTTCAACAAAGACATCTTGAGTCCCACTCTGTGTCCTTCATTGTGTCAGATACAGGGTTCCAGTAGTGACTAACACATGTCCTCAGCTTATACTCCAGTGGAAGTTGCATTGTCAACCAGTGACAGTGGCATTCAGAGTGTGGTATATAAGCCTTCATTGGAGTTGTGGGCCAGGATGTGGGGAAATCAAAGCAGGCTGCATGAAGGAGGTGCTAATCGATTTGGATTCTGGTGGATAAGTAGGATTTCCGTGGATTGGGAGGATTCCCACAAGCAGGCTGGAAGAACTAAGGATTTGGAAACATAGTGGGCCAAGACCCAGAGGTGTGAAAGCCTTGGAATGTGAGTGCATGTGTGTGTGTGTGTGAAGTGTAAGTTGGTGGAAGGTGAGGTGAACTGGGAGTGATGGGCAGCTGCAGTGTGCCCTGCCTAGGGCCATGCTGAGAGCTCAACTTTATTTCAGGGCCTGTAGATGCTATAAGAAGGATATGAAGGAGGGATCCGCCCCTCCGCCCCCAACCCATCCAGAGTCAGGACCTGGTCAAGAACTGAGAGAACTTCAGGAGGGGGAATCCGCAAGACCCCATGACTTAGTGGCTGCAGGCGGGGCCAGGGCAGATGGAGAGACTTTGGGTTGTCAGAAGAGACAAGGAGAGGGACTGGGCACGTGTTGGGGCACCTGGAGAGCTGGTGGAACCTAGAGCCCTCTCCCCACTCCCTCCCTAGGTATTCAGCGACATCGGCGCCATCCAGAGCCTGAAACGCCTGGTTTCCTACTCTACCAACGGCACTAAGTCTGCGCTGGCCAAGCGCGCGCTGCGCCTGCTGGGCGAGGAGGTGCCACGGCCCATCCTGCCCTCCGTGCCCAGCTGGAAGGAGGCCGAGGTCCAGACGTGGCTGCAGCAGATTGGCTTCTCCAAGTACTGCGAGAGCTTCCGGGTAGAGTCGTGGGGGGTGCACCTCCCCCAAGTCAGAGCGGGCGCCCTGTGCACAGAGACGGTGTTCCCTCCCGGCCTCGCACTCCTGTGGCGCTGGGGTGGCTTTTAGGGGTGGGGAGCCTGTACGCAGCCACCCTTGGGGTCACTCGGCTCTGACCTAGGTCCCATCCGCCTCCTCCACGCCATCGCCAGTTCCTTCCCTTGCATCTTGTGCTCGAGGTCCAAGGGCTAAGTATCGGAGCCCTTCCTGACACCCGACTCCTCTCCCAGGAGCAGCAGGTGGATGGCGACCTGCTTCTGCGGCTCACGGAGGAGGAACTCCAGACCGACCTGGGCATGAAATCTGGCATCACCCGCAAGAGGTACGGAGCCTCCTGTCCGCCGGACCCCAGCTAGGTCTAAATAAGCGCCCCCTCGGTCCACAGCCCATCTGAGTCTGGACCTCAGCGTCTTCTCCTCCGTGGGGTGCAGGTTCTTTAGGGAGCTCACCGAGCTCAGGACCTTCGCCAACTATTCTACGTGCGACCGCAGCAACCTGGCCGACTGGCTGGGCAGCCTGGACCCGCGCTTCCGCCAGTACACCTACGGCCTGGTCAGCTGCGGCCTGGACCGCTCCCTGCTGCACCGCGTGTCTGAGCAGCAGCTGCTGGAGGACTGCGGCGTCCGCCTGGGCGTGCACCGCGCCCGCATCCTCACGGCGGCCAGAGGTCAGCCCTCCCACCCGGGACCCCGCCCCAGCCCCAGCCCCAGCCCCAGCCACGGCCCTAGAAGGGTGAGGGAAGACACAGGGTGGAGACTTCCAGCCTCACCGTGGATTGCTTGAGCACAAACGTGGGTCACACTGGGCTCTGAGGATGTAAAGATGAATACGTTGCACTTTGCCTCAAGAAGTTCCCAATCTTAGGTGGGTAGGCGGTGGGAGGAAGGGAGGGAGGTATTAAACAGGCAGACGGCCCCTGCAGAAAGCTACCTAGGTCTCCAGTGGGAGCACAGAGGAAACCCGGCCCACCCCATCCACCCAGGTCTAAATTTCAGAGAGGACAGGATGCCTCACCATGTCTTGAGAGAGGCACTGGCGGGGAGGGGTGGCAACAGGAAGGGCAGCCCAGGCAGAGGCAGCGGCTGATGGAGAGTCCATGCAGTGGGGTATAGGTGGGAAGGGTGTGTGCGTATGTGTGTTATCCTATTGGCCAACAGCTTACAAAATTTGGGTCTAGAGGTGGTTTAGAGTGAATTCTAGGCCTCTAGCCACCCTCCTTATTTGCTAATTTATTTTAAACTTACTAATTTACCACTTAGTTAATCTTTATTGTCAATTACAAGGTACTCTGTTAGTTTTTAAGATATTATCTCGTCAGTCTCTACATTGATTCTATGCAGTGAGTGTTCAGTTTTTAAAATCAACCTTAAAGAACTCTTGAAAGAATAAAAAGAGGAATAAGTGTCCAGTTTGAGGGCCGGGCACTGTGGCTCATGCCTATAATTCTAGCACTTTGCGAGGCCAAGACAGGCAGATCGCTCAAGTCCAGGAGTTTGAAACCAGCTTGGGCAACAAGGTAAAAGCCCGTCTCTACTAAAAGCACAAAAAAATACAAAAAATTAACTGGGTGTTATGGCGCATACATGTAGTCCCAGCTACTTGGAAGGCTGAGGTCAGAGGATCACCTGAGCCCAGGAAGTTAAGGCTGCAGTGAACTGTGATCAGGCCACTATACTCCAGCCAGCCTGGGCAGCAGGAGTGAGACCCTATCTCAAAAAAGAAAAAAAGTGTCAGTTTGAGGAGTTTTAAAATACATCTGTGTGACCTCCCCCAACCCCCACCATCATCATTAAAGATATAGAATATTTCCATCATAGGTGTTCATTTTAAAGATAATGACAATAACATTTAAAGAATTCAAATACATTTCCCACAGTCATAAAAGTCATTAGATGGCAAAACTGGGACTTGAGCCTTGCCTTTCTGCTTCATAAACAAACAAATGTTGTCTATGAGGGTTGTGTCTAAATATTATAAGAAGATGAATTCTTTTCATTTTATCCATTCATTCAGCAATTACAGACTAAGCACCCACAAAACACAAGGGACTGAGCTTTGACTGCATTCTTATGCTTCAACTAATGCAGGTTGGCTTTTATTATTTTTACATGGCAGCTCCCATTAAAACTTCAAGATTTCATTTTTATTTTAATTAATTAATTAATTAATTTGAGACAAGGTCTCATTCTGTCACCCAGGCTGGAGTGCAGTGGCGCAATCACAACCCACTGAAGCCTCAACCTCCCGGGCTCGAGCAATTCTCCCACCTCACCTCCCAAGTAGCTGGGACCACAGGCGCGCAACACCATACCCGGCTAATTTTTGTATTTTTTGTAGAGACAGGGTTTCACCATGTTGCCCAGGCTGTTCTCAAACTCCTTGTCTCAAGCAATCCTCCCAACTTAGCCTCCCAAAGTGTTGAGATTACGGGTGTGGGCCACCGCACCCAGCACAAGATTGCATTTTTAAACAACAGGAAAATCCTAGGGCAAAAATAGCTTAAAAAAATAGTTCATATGGTGAGCCATGCATAGTTTTTAAGTGGGAGGAGTGACATGCTCAGATTTGGATTTTAGAAAGATCTTCTGGTAGCTGTGGCAAATGGACTACACTGGGCAATTCTTTTCTTTTCTTTTTTTAGACAGAGTCTCACTCTGTTGCCCAGGCTAAAGTGCGGTGGTGCGTTCTTGCCTCACTGCAACCTCTGCCTCCCAGGTTCAAGTGATTCTCGTGCCTCAGCCTCCCAAGTAGCTGGATTACAGACATGTGCCACCATGCCCGGCTAATTTTTTGTATCTTTTGTGAAGATGGGGTCTCACCATATTGGCCAGGCTGGTCTCGAACTCCTGGCCTCGAGTGATCCACCCACCTTGGTACCCCAAAGTGCTGGTATTACAGGTATGGGCCACTGCGCCTGGCCTAGACTGGAAAATTCTAGCTGGGTTTAGGGAGGCCATTGAGGAGGTTGGCACTGGAAACCTGAGCCAGGGAAGGGCCCGGAGGCTGGAGTCCTGGATGTTTAGTAGGTGGAATCCTCAAAATGTGGTGCCTATGCTGAGCACTGAGCATTGCTCCAGAGGGGCAGAGTACTATCTGTTTTATTCACTGCCGAATCTCAAGCACTGAAGATAGTTCTGGCACACAGCGAGTGCTTAGGAAGTATTTGTTGAATAAATTAAATGAGAGGCAGGAGTTGAGGCTGATACCCGGGTGTTTGGCTTTGGTGGGAAATAGGGAAGAAGGAATGAGCGGGAGATTTGGAGTGTGTTGAATTTGGAGTGATTGTGGGCAGCTGGCTGTGCAGGTCTGGAGTTCCAGAGAGAGGGCAGGGCCGGAAGTGCATGCATATCAATGTCCCTAGAACGCAGTGCCTGCCTCCTAAGAGTAACCCAACAAGAACATGACCTTCCTTCTGTAGGCCCCATTTCTCCTTTTTGGGAGAGGCCACCCTTCCCAGGCTGGGCTGAGAGGGCTGGGTAGAGGGATGATATACCTGACAGTGAGTGATGCAGAGGGGCCACCCTCACCATGCTGCCTGTTGCCCACTTTAGAAATGCTACACTCCCCGCTGCCCTGTACTGGTGGCAAACCCAGTGGGGACACCCCAGATGTCTTCATCAGCTACCGCCGGAACTCAGGTTCCCAGCTGGCCAGGTGAGGAGGGGCAGGCAGGCAGTGGCAGGGCCTTTGGACAAGGCTGTGGCACTGACACAGGACCTACTTACAGCCTCCTGAAGGTGCACCTGCAGCTGCACGGCTTCAGTGTCTTCATTGATGTGGAGAAGCTGGAAGCAGGCAAGTTCGAAGACAAACTCATCCAGAGTGTCATGGGTGCCCGCAACTTTGTGCTGGTGCTGTCACCTGGAGCACTGGACAAGTGCATGCAGGACCATGACTGCAAGGATTGGGTGCATAAGGTAGGTGCCCACCTATGCCTCTAAGGTCCCAGCATTGGCCCATGGTCCAGAAGATAGGGTTGTCTTCTAGTCCTTCTTATCTGCACATCCCAGCACACTTAGCCCTGAAGCACCTCCCTGACCCAGCTGGAAGTCAGGAACCACAGCTCTGACTATAATAGGACTTTAGCAAGCTACAAGGGACAAGAGACTAGGCTTTGGCTCCCTGAGCCTCAGTTTTCTTATCTGCAAAATGGGGTAACTTACCTGTTCCACTCACCCTGTAGAACTGTTGTGAGAATCAGAGCGAGATAAAAATGCTTTGAAAAATAACTTCCATAAGAGACACGAGAGCATAGCGACAGGCAGAAGGGAATAGTTGAGAGCTCAAAACTGAGAGTTTGAATCCTGGCTCTGGCCTTGGGCAAGTTACTCAACCCCAATAAGCTTTGTATTTATTACTGGAAAGAGCGTATTATAATAATAGTATCTAACTGTCTAGAACATTGTTATAAGGATTAAAAAAGCTAAAATTTGTGAAGTGCTTAGCAGAATGGCTGGCACATAGTAACTGCTCAATAGTGGTAGCTATTATTATTATTATTAATATAATTATTATAACTACTACCTCTGTTTAATTCATGATTGTATGTTCAGTGCCTGACACATTGTAGGAACTTACTGAATACTTATAGAATGGATGGATGGATAGATTCACATTGCATCTTCAGGTTATTAATCATTAATCTGTCAGTAGGAATTGGAGTTGGGGCTGAGGGATGCAGTAGTCATCTGAGAGACAGGATGAGACAAGCAGTCAGCTCAGAGACAAGAATATGCCCACAGGGCCAGGCACAATGGTTCACACCTGTAATCCCAGCATTTTGGGAGGCTGAGGCGGGAGAATCACTTGAGGTCCGGGGTTTGAGACCAGCCTGGGAAACACGGTGAAAACTTGTCTCTACTAAAAAAATACAAAAATCAGCCAGGCATGGTGGCGCACACCTGTAATCCCAGCTACTCGGGAAACTGAGGCAGGGGACTCACTTGGGCCCAGAAGGCGGAGATGGCGCCACTGCACTGCAGCTTGGGCAACAGACTGGGATGCTGTCTCAAAATGACTAGATCGCATACAAGTTGGTGTAAATGCTGAGCCAGGTAAGCAAACCTCTTGCTTGCCACAGGGGTTGGGAGAAGGGAGAGAGCAACACTATGTCAACGAAAAGAGTCAAACTCTGTAAAATATTTGAAGAGATTTACTCTAAGCCAAATATGAGTGACCATGGCCCATGACATAGCCCTCAGGAGACCTTTAAAACATGTGCCCAAGGTGGTCAGGGCACAGTTTGGTTTTATACATTTTTGGGAGACACGAGACATTAATCAATACATTTAAGATGTACGTTGGTTTGGTTCAGAAAGGCAGGACAGCTCAAAGCGGGGGCTTCCAGGCTTTTGGTAAATTTAAAATTTTTCTGCTTGATAATTAGTTGAGTTTATCTGAAGACCTGGGATCAATAGAAAGGAAATGTGTAGGTTAAGATAAAGCGTTGTGGAGACCAAGTTTTATTTGTGCAGAGGAAGTTCTCAGGGCAGACTTCAGAGGGAGTAGGTTATAAAATATTTCTTATCGGACTTAAAAGGGTGCCTGGCTCTTTGTGATTATCTCCTGAGTCTGAAAAGAAAAAAAACAATGGGGGGAAGGGGATTCTCTACAGAATGTGGCTTTTTCCCACAGGAGACAAACTCGTGGCGCAATTTCAAGATATGGCAGGGAAATATATTTGGGGTTAAAATGGTTATTTCCTCCCTTATTATATGATGTTATATTAGAGTCAGGTTAGAAAGCAGACCACGCTATATAGGTTTAAAATTAAAACCCCTCCGATAAGACTTTATGGTTTGTAGGGCATGACTCCCTAGGCCCCTTAGGTAGGAATTTGGGCAAGATTTAAAAAAAAAAAAAATCAGAGTTTAGTCCTCAGAGGACTGGAATAATCAGGGAGGACTTCATGGAGGAAACAGGTCTTGAGAAGAATCTTAAGAGTCTAGATAAGTGGAAGAGAAGGCATCCCAAGCCAGGGTAACAGCATGGAATAAAGGTAGGAAGGAGAACAAAGGAAATAGGAATAAAGCAAAGGAATAAAGGTAGGAAGGAGAACAGTGCTGAAAGTCCATATACATCATGGGTACTGCTTTCTCCATATCACAGATGAAGAAACCGAAGCTCAGAAAAGTAGAATAATTTTCCTCTGGATGCACTGCCAGTGTAGAAATCAGAAAAGCTAGGCTTCAGATTCCATCTATCTGACTCCAAAGCTCATAGCTTTCCCAAGATCCACACTGCATTCTATGGCACACATCTGAGGGGGTGTGAGGGGAGGTGATGGGGTAGGGCTGGATTCAGTCAACACCAGAGATGATCATCTGTATCTCTTCACAACTCCACATCCAGTGATGTCATGTTGGTAACTTGACATCAGCCATGGTGGGAGTATTTACACCAAGGAAATTGGGAACCACTACAAATCAGAGTTTTGTCTGTTTGGTTGATTGGCTGGTGGATTTTCTCCCCCGTGAATAGCTAGTTATTATAAAGTTACCAGCACACCGTTGGCTGGATAAGAACTATGGAAACCAGGTTAAGGAGTGTTTAAAGGCAGGAGAAGACCTGTGCTTAAGGCACTGGAAAACAAGGAGCCCATGAAGGAGAAGATGCCAGGGCAGTGGGTTTTAGAATGAAGGCTCTGACACTGAAATGCAGTCCACATGGAGTGTGGAGTCAAGCCCCAGAGGCCACATAGGAGGGGCTGAGTACTAGGCCTGGTTTGGGGAGGGGCACTGGGCCAGGTGAGCTTCCAGTAAGAACATGGCTGATGACCCAGAGCAGGTGGCAGGTAGCATTTTGAGAGAAAGAGAAGAGTGTCTGTGAGCTCCATGAGACTTCAGACCTTGCCTTGTTCATGTGTGTCCCTGGTGCTTAAAACCATGCATGGTACAAAGGAGGCTCTATGCGATTGCACCAAAAAAAAAAAAAAAAGAGAGAGAGGGAGAGAGAAAGAGAGAGGGGTTGTAGAGGAGTTTATAGAACAATTGAATCAATGATTAAGCAGACAAGTGATACTGATGAAGCTGAGATGCCATGCCTGAGAGAGCCATACTTATCTAGTAGATTTACCAGGTTAGAAGACTTGACTCCATTTTTTTTCTTTTTTTTTTTTTCCAGTAGAGATAGGGTTTCACTATGTCACCCAGGCTAGTCTCAAACTCCTGAGCTCAAGTCTGGAGTTCAGTGCTTGCCTCGGCCTCCCAAAGTTCTGGGATTAGAGGCATGAGCCACCATGCCCAGCCAAAGGACTTGACTCTAATTGCTTTCATTCTCAACCAGCTAGGTGATCCTGAACAAACCATTATCCCTCTCTTTTATTTATTCATTTTTTTTGAGACAGACTCTCGCTCTGTCACCAGTCTAGAGTGCTGTGGCACGATCTCGGCTCACTGCAACCTCCACCTCCCGGGTTCAAGCAATTGCCCTGCCTCAGCCTCCTGAGTAGCTGGGACTACAGGCACACGCCACTATGTCCAGCTAATTTAGATATATATATATTTTAGTAGAGACCGGGTTTCACCATGTTGGCCAGGATGGTCTCGATCTCCTGACCTTGTGATCTGCCTGCCTCGGCCTCCCCAAGTACCGGGATTACAGGCATGAGCCACCGTACCCGGCCGCTATTATCCCTTTCTTGGCCAGCCTCTGAATCTGTGCAATAAACAGTTTGTACTGTCTTTGGTTTTGTATAATTCTGGATGAAACAAATGTCTAAAGATTTCCAAATAAGGCCGGGCGCGGTGGCTCAAGCCTGTAATCCCAGCACTTTGGGAGGCCGAGATGGGCGGATCACGAGGTCAGGAGATCGAGACCATCCTGGCTAACACGGTGAAACCCCATCTCTACTAAAAATACAAAAAAATAAGCCGGGCGAGGTGGCGGGCACCTGTAGTCCCAGCTGCTCGGGAGGCTGAGGCAGGAGAATTGTGCGAACCCAGGAGGCGGAGCTTGCAGTGAGCGGAGATCTGGCCACTGCACTCCAGCCTGGGTGACAAAGCGAGACTCCGTCTCAAAAAAAAAAAAAAAAAAAAAAAAGATTTCCAAATAAATTGCTGCAGGGTCAGGATTCATTCCAGTGCTCAGCAGAGAGGCAGCAGGGCTTGGTTGAAACAGCCTGGACTTGGACTCTCGAGGCTTGAGTCAGAGGACTGGTCCCTCATGGGCTGGGCGTACATGTGGCTTAGGAGGAAATCCCTTCCTCTCTGGGCTTTTTTCTCTCCATCTGTAAAATGGAGAGGCTCCCCAGGAAGCCAGTCAAGGGCAAAGTTACATATGTTCTTTCCCCAGGAAGGCTCCACTTCCCAAGAATGCTTGGCACCCCTTGTCGTCCCAGCAGATGGCAAAGAGGCAGGAAGAGCCTTTGCCTTGGACCAGCCCCAGAGGCGCCGTCATCCCTCTTTGGTTGTTTCTGGTGCTTAATTGCCTCTGGTTTTAAAAGTCCTTTCCCTGAAGTCACATTAGCGGGTAATCAATATGGAAAACCACAAGTGAACTGCACTTAAGTAAGTAAAATCCCTTTGGTTCCCTATTAAGAGGAAGAAAAACATTCAATAAGCACTTACGGAACCCCATTAATAGCAAATAATTCCTTAAAACAATGCTTTGGGGTAGGTTTTATTATCTCCACTTTATGGAAGAGGAAATAATAACACCTATTACGTATTAAGCATACACTGTATGCTAAGCGCTGTTCTAATTACTTGCCATGGAATGTTGCGCTTATTCCATGGAAAAATCTATCATTAACTCTGCTTTATATATTAGAAAACAAAGGAACAGATGTGGCGGCCCACGCCTGTGATCCCAACACTTCGGGATGCTAAGGTGGGAGGATCACTTGAGGCCAGGAGTTTGAGACCAGCCTGGGCAACATGGTGAAACCCCATCTCTACTAAAAAATACAAAAAATTAGCCAGACATGGTAGCACACGCCTGTGGTCCCAGCTACTTGGGAGGCTGAGGTGGGAGGATGGCTTGAGCCCAGGAGGTTGAGGCTGCAGTGAGCCTTGATGGCGCCACTGCCCTCCAGCCTGGGCAACAAAGTGAGATGCTGTTCCCTGCCCTCCACCAAAAAAAAAAAAAAGAGAGAGAAAACGGAAACTTTAAATACCTATCATTTTTGCCTCAGGTCGTAGAGCCTGTGTCAGAGACTCAATGTGAACCCTGATTTGATGATTCCAGAGTGCAGCCCTAACTGCTGTGCTATGTTTTCTCATTCATTCATTCATCCATCCATTAAATATTTAGCAAGGGCTAACTGTAAGGGCTCTGTAAAAGATGCTAAGATATAAAGTCAGTGAAAAATAGATATGATCCCTCCTCATGTCTGGCAGAGAAGACAAATAGTAGTTTATCCATTAATTAATTAAAATTTGCAACTATAATATGTTCTGCAGAGCCTATAATAGGAGAACTGATTTGGTCAGGGCAGTGGGAGACAACTGCCCTGTGTAAGAGTTGACTGAGCTCAGATCAGAAAAATGAATGGGCATTATCAAGGGGGAAGGACAAGGAAGCTTATTTTGTGTGACTGGGAGGACAGAGCAGGGGTAGAGTTTGAGAAGTGGACTGTGGCCAACCACATAGGGCCTCACAGGCCACATGAAGGAGTTTGGACTTTATTCTAAGACCATGCAAAGTCTTGAAGAGTTTTAAGTAGGGAGTGACAGGATCTGATTTGTCAGATGTGCATTTTGCAAATATTAGCTACATGAAAGGGCAATGTGGAGAGTGAATTAGAGAAGACAAGGGTGGATGAGGAAAGACCTGGTGGGGGCTTAAAGATAATAGGGATTGGAGGAGAGTGGTAGTGGGTGGAGGCAGGGGGAAAATGGTGGATTTGAGAAATAAGTAAGGAGTACAATTGGCAGGGCGCATGATGGATCAACCTGTATGCAGGATTGTGATGTTTTTCTTCTGACACCAAATTGTTTGGGGTTTTTCCCACACTAACCACTAATTCTCCAACTTTCCAACACCAGCTGGGTATCCCACAATTCAATTCAATTCTGAAATGTCAGTCACGAGGCCCAGGTCCCCAGGCTACCACATTTCTGTTTGATTTGGCTACAAATTGAGGGGTTCCCATGACACCCCGAGGTTCAACTTGCTAGAATGACTCAGAACTGAGGAAAGCACTTTACTTACTATTAGTTGCTTATTATGTCAACCTTAAATAATGAGATTCAGAAAATAAGACTAAGTATAGAGTTTCTTTGAGTGCAAAGTTTGAGAATAGCCACCCAGGAAGCATTGACTCCAAAGGAATGGGGTGAGTACTCCAAATTGGAGAAGTTAAGGTTTCACTTCCACAGGCAGACAGAGGAATTTTAGCAGGATTCCAACATTTTCCATATAAGACCAGTGCATATGTTACAATGCTTTGATTGGCTATAGATTGCTACATTCCAAGGAAGATGACTTTATTACCCCCTGAGGAGGGGTGGTGATCTGAGTGGGGATCTAAGGGGGTCTTATCTCTGGTGCCATTTGGTCTTCCTAAGTAATTACAGAAAAAAAAAAAAAAAAAAAAAAAAGGAAGAAAAAAAAAAAAAAAAAAAAAAATAGGTGGAAGTTGCAGCTGCATGCCTCGTGACTCAGGCTGCATAGACCAATTCCTGTCAAGGCTCAGAATAATTTAAAGTTCCAAGAGCTTTAGGTTTGATTTAACAAAGCTTGAATAATAATAATAAATAATATTATTAATCTCAAAATCCTGGGCTCAAGTGATCCTCCTGCCTCAGGCTCCCAAAGTGTTGGGATTACAGGCGTGACCCACCATGCCCAGCTGAATTATTTAATTTCACTTACAAATTCCACTTACAAAGGACACAGCTCAAGAATAGCCAAATGGAAGAGATACATAGGATCTCTATGTGTGGAGAGTAGAGGTGTGGATGCCATGCCTTCTACCACCTTCCCAGCACCTACACCCATTTATCAACCTGGAGGCTCTTCAAAACCCCTTGTTTAGGGGTTTTTATGGAGGTTCCATTGTGTAGGCATGATTGATTAAATCACTGGCCATTGGTGATTGAACTCAATCTCCAGCACCCCTCTGGAGGTTGGAAGGTGGGGCTGAAAGTTCCACAGCCGCTTCCTGAAGCTATCTAGGCTACCCCCATAGCGCTCCCAGGCCCCCAGTGGGAAATCATCTCTTTAGCATACAAAGACACTCATCACTCAAGAGATTCCAAGGGTTTTAGGGGCTCTGTGCCAGGAACCCTGGGCAGAGACAAAATATTTATTTTTTATTATACTACAAGGGTTAAGGGAGACATCAAGGTGGACTTCAGAACTGGTGTCCTGCCCTGGACCCAGCCTCGGGCTAGTGGCCCTCCCAGCACCTGCCTGGCTACAAGGGTCCCTAAATGGATACAGGAGTATCTTCCTCCTTTCCTTTCTTTCTCCAGGAGATTGTGACTGCTTTAAGCTGTGGCAAGAACATTGTGCCCGTCATTGATGGCTTCGAGTGGCCTGAGCCCCAGGTCCTGCCTGAGGACATGCAGGCTGTGCTTACTTTCAACGGCATTAAGTGAGCCCCGGGGCCCTGGGACCAGGGGGGTAGGGTACAGCTCACCATGACAGGCAGTGTGTGAGCAAACAGCTGACTAGCAGCTCCCTCTGCCCAGCTGTCTGACCCACATGGCTCCTGTGCCCACAGGTGGTCCCACGAATACCAGGAGGCCACCATTGAGAAGATCATCCGCTTCCTACAGGGCCGCTCCTCCCGGGACTCATCTGCAGGCTCTGACACCAGTTTGGAGGGTGCTGCACCCATGGGTCCGACCTAACCAGTCCCCAGTTCCCAGCCCTGCTGTGACTTCCACTTCCATCGTCCTTTCTGAAGGAACAGCTCCTCAAACCGGCCTACCTGGCTGAGACAACCTGGACTCTTCTTAGCAAATGGCCCTCCCTCTCCCTGTCCCCCACCCTCATGGCCCACCTCCAACCCACTTTCCTCAGTATCTGGAGAGGGAAGGGAAGTCAGACTTGGGCTCGGGAGGTTAGAACTCCCCCATGCCCTGCCATTGGGTTATCTGTCTGTCATGGGGAGGGTCCCTGCTCAGTTCTGGAAACATTGGAGTTGGGGTGGGGGTGGTTCTGCATTCCCTTCTGCTCTGATAGCAGCCAGTTTGAGGATGAAGGAAGGCAGCCTCAGACAGGAATTAAGGCAATGCCCAGGCAGGCCTGGGCACTGTAGTCTGAGCAAGGGCCTGGGCCCAAGAGCCAGCCAGGGATGAGTGCGATCATGGCTCTCCACTCAGACTGTGCCTGGCCCCTGCACTTACAACTTCCTGCCGCTCTGTGGCCTTGCCCTGTAATCACTCAGTGCCGTTAGCCAGCCTGACTAGGTCCCAGATCCCCTACAGCTTCCTTCAGTGTGGTATCTTTTGCCACATCCAGGGCGAGGGTTGAGGTAAACCGGCCCTCCCTCTGACTTCCTTGTCGCTGCAGCCAGCTTTGCTGCACTTACTGGTGCACAGGAGCCTCCTGTTTGGGCCTGGGTCTGGGCATGGGGAAGCCGTGCCTCAAAGCCCACCCTACCCCACGCCTTGGTGCTGTGCCTCAGGCTCCTTCCTGGTCTGGCCCAGCTGGCTACCCCAGCCCCTCAGCTATCCAGGGCTACCCACTGCTTGCTCAGGGACCAGGCAGCCCCCATGGCAGTAAAAGCAGCCTGGACAGAACCTGCAGCTCTGTGGAAAGAGGCAAAGTCCTGAAAAGGCAAAAGGTTGTCACCTATGGCAGCTTCTCCAACTTTAACATGCATCCAAGTCACCTGGGAACGTTGTTAAAATCAGGAGATCTGGGGTGGGGCCTAGACTCTGCGTTTCTTACAGATTCCCAGGTGATTTAAAATCAGGAGATCTGGGGTGGGGCCTGAGACTCTGCGTTTCTTACAGATTCCCAGGTGAGCTGATGCTGGTGGTTAAGGGTAGCAAATCTCTAAAGCATGAAGCTCTCACGAATCTTTGCCATTTCCCACACACTCCGCTCCTTGGTCTCCAGTCGTCAGAGCAACTCTACCTGGTATTATCATCCCCATTTTACAGATAATGACACTGAGGCTCAGAAAGGTTGAAGATAAGCCCAGTTTCCTGTCATTAGTGGCAGCCCCAGATCCAGACCTAGACCTCCTGGCACCCAGTCCACTGGCCGTGGAATTGCTCTCCCGAGAATCATTCTGAGGCTGGGCTATTGCTTCTCCCTTGCTTCAAAGAATCTAGCAGCGGGGGATAGGATTTTGCAACAAAAAGCTGACCCAGAGGCCATACTGAAATAACTGAGCAGGAATGTCCCATTGCCCCCTCCTCCACTGGGTTCAGAGGGCAAGAAAGTACCGTCCAATAAACCCAGGCTGCAGGCCACGGGGACTGCTGAAGGCTCTTCCCCAATGAGGGCCAGGTGTTGACACCTTAAGGCTGGCTGCGCCCCCAGCCCCACTCTTGGCTGTGCTGGCCAGGCGACTCCTAGCTCTCAGCCGCATCGTCAGAAAGTCAAAGTTCTCACTCCAGGTTTGGGGCTCCTTCCTTCCACTCCCCTCCCTGCCAGAGTCTGTCTTGGCCAGTCCCAGCCTCGATGCTTTGCTTTGGACCCCATCTGATCTTCCTTTCCTCATGCAGCGCAAGTGCTCACTGGGGCCAGGGTGAGGGCATGGACGTGACAAGCAGGGCAGCCTGGACACTGCCCTCACAGGACAGAGTCAACAACAATACAGAGTCTGAGTGTCTCCAGGGGATGATTTCTGGCTTCTTGTCTCCAATCAGTCCCACTCCCTCCTGAGGTCCCCATGGGCAGGCTTCAGAGAGTTTCCTGTGTTTTTTCTGTTTGGTATACCCTCCACTGCTGTCCACAGCCCTATGTGGCCTTCTGGTTGACCTCTGCCCGATCTTCTGTCTCTCTGGGGGAATCAGAGTCCAGCATCCAGCCCCAGACGGAACAGCTGAAGTCACAAGCCTCCCCTAAGCCAAGGCCAGTGTGCTCAGAGGTGACTGCCACCCGCACTAGGACAAACACAGCTCAGATCACCAGGTCAAGCACCTAGGCCTGGCTTCTCCTGAGATAGAGGACTCAGAAGTGGCCTTTCCTCCAAAGCCTACTCAGACACAGGTCTGTAGGGCCAGGGTGTTCTGCTTGGCTGGGCTGCAGCTGCTACCCCTCGGTTGGGGCTGAGTCAGCCAGATCCTCCCCCCACTTCTCCCCAAGGGCCAAGAACTGCTCAGGGACATTAAAGGTCAAAAGTCCAGCCACACTCATTCATCCTTTCCCCAGGCCCATGAAGAGAGGCATCTTATTGTAGAATGTATGAGGAGGTGGGAAAGATCTCAGAGCATCAGCCAAGTTTCCTAACTTGTCCGTCCAAATGTGATTACCACGATTCAACAATTCGGGGCATCGCTGATCTAGCCCTTCCTAGTGGGGCTTGTTTAAGGTTGCACAGCGAGTCAGTAGAAGCCCTGGCTGGCCCCACTTGGTATCAGTCCACCAAGCAGCTCAGGGCTCCTGCCCAGCCCAGCAGCTTCTGTTGTCTGACATATGGCAGGCAGACTGGGAGCAGGAAAACAGAGGGCCCCAAAGCCCACGGCACCAGAAGGTTTGTTTCAGTTTGCTGAAGCTGATTTATAATGATTGGCACTCTTCAGCCCAGGGAGTGGGTAGGCCATAGCCAAGGATCAATTCCCCAACCACAGTGAAGGCAGCGCTCCTCCTCTGGAGATCACCAAGCCCCTCTCACCTCCCTCCCTCCTTCCCAAGGCTGGCACTAACCAGGTACCACATTCATTGTTAAGGAGTGGCTGGTGACTGCTACACATGTCAGGAACCTGCCTGGGACTGTGCAGTTTGGGCTGGAAGGAGAGATGCCAGCCCTTGTGCTGCCTCTGGTCCCTAAAGTGTCACCTCAGGACCTCTCCTCTGGTCTGGGGAGTTATAAGTGATGGATGGCAGAAAGGAAGAACTGACTCCTGTCCCGAATAGCTCCCCTGCCACCTGTCCTGCAGTGGGCCTGTGTGGGTTATGATTCTAGATCCTAGTCAGAGGCTGGCTCAGCTATGGATGGGGTGGTGCCTTGGTCTGTCTTGACCACCTCGTCCAAAGAGAGCACTGCCCTTAGAAAGCAGCTGCTGGTGCTGCTGTGGGCTGGGCTCCAGCTGTAGACCTTCAGTTGTTTGGTGTTCACTTTGCTCCTCTTGCCCTCTGTCTTCTGGTCCAGGCAGATCAGGGGCTCTGGGGAAACTGCTGGAACTCAGGGTGAGGAACAGCCTTTTCCAGCATCCTGTGAGAGACCAGAGAGAGGGTTTGGATTTCACATGGGGTACCTTCAAGGCTTGTCTGGAGAAGTGATGCAGGATTTACTTGGGTGGGCTGGTCCAGGTAGCTCTCCTGAACCTCCTCCTTCCCCAAGCTGAGAAGCTAAGAGCTAGAGGACAATGTCCAGGGACATGGCTCTGGAAAATAACTTTTCTTTTTTTTTTTAAGAGATAGGGTTTTGCTCTGTTGTCCAGGCTGGAGGCCAGTGACACAATCATAGCTGACTGTACCCTTGAACTCCTGGGCTCAAGTGATCCTCCTGCCTCAGCCTCCTTAGTAGCTGGGACTACTGGTGCATACCACCATGCCTGGCTGATTTTTAAAATTTTTTATACAGACAAGGTCTTGCTATGTTGTCCAGGCTGATCTTGAATTCTTGGACTCAAGTGGTCCTCCTGCCTCAGCCTGCCACAGGATCGGGATTACAGGCAGGAGCCCCCACGCCCAGCCATGAAATTCTTAATATCATACAGGAAAAAGTTCAACTAGCTGACAAGGCTCTCTGGCCTTCCCTTTAACACAGTTCTGTTGCCATAGTTCCATCTAAAAAATGGGAATGGAGGGAAATAGGGGAACTGGGAGAGAGAACACAGCCTTGCCAAGTAGCAATGTTAGCCTGATCCTTCCTCCACCTAGCTTGCCACCTTGCCCTTGGAAAATGGCTCCTGGAGGATTAGGCAGCCATGTGCAAGGAGAGGGGCAACCTGGGACAAGACACCCAGAGGGGGAGGATTCCAGGAATGAAGCTGCCATTTCTAGTTGGGAGGAGGGCACTTTTATGAGAAAGGGCTCCATTATGAGCACGGGTCAGGGACCTGCATTACCCAATCAGAACGGCCGGGATGAGCAGGAGGCCAGCTCCCAGGAGGAAGGGGAACCCCTTCATAAAGTTCAGAGTGGCTGGGTAGAGTGAGTTGAAGATGCCGGAGGCCGTCAGCATGGCCAGGTTATTCACACAGGCCACAGCAGAAAAGAGAGCACCTGTGAAGAAATAAATACCATACTCCGGAGTCCGAAAGGGCCATGTTCAAATTCTGGCACCACCACCTCAGAGCTGTGTGACCGGAAGCAGTCACTTAACCTGTGTCTCCCCTTCCTCACCAGTAAATCCTGCTACATCATGTACTGTGACAAGGATTCAATAAGGTTGTATGTGAACAGCAGCTGGCACAGAGGGGCTACTAAATAAATGGCTGCTGTTAAATCCACACTAAAAGTACATGTGATCTGACAGAACATAGCACATGAAAAAAAAAAGTACGTGTGATATTGTCTGATGAAAGCTTGATGGAAATGGCTTTTTTCTGGTTTATCCTCTTTGGAATCATCTGTTTGGGATTAACTGCAGGTCTGATCAGTTCCAATATTCATAGCTGTGTCACCACTGAATAGCTTTTTATCCTTTGGGTTCCTGTTCCTCCTGCTAAATAAGGATAATACCTATTTCCTAGATTGTCAGCAACATTCAGTTCACATGGAATCACCCGTCACTGGGCCTGGCCCCCTGGAAGTAGCTAGTTAGTAAGGGCTGTTCTTTTCTCGTGTTTCCCTGACATCTCTGGGCACAAAGAAAGTGCTGGGAAAAAAAGTTTAGGTGAATGAATGAAGGCACATGGATTCTGGGGACACCAGAACCCACAGTGGGCTCTGTATGGCACCAGGGTCTCTGTCATCATCAGATCCTCATTCCAGGACAGATGGAGAAAGATGAATGTTTCCCGACTGGGGCATGAAGACCCAGAGGCTGGAGATGCTGTTCTGTGTAGATACACCAGGAGGACCCACAGTTTACAAAATGTGCAACAACCCAACAGAAGTTGAGATTAAATTCTGTCACATCTAGAGGGGCCTGTGATGTCATCAAGAGCAAACCACTCACATCACAGATGAAGAAACAGGCCTATGGCAGGGCTCGGACTAAAACCCAGATCCTGAGACCAGCTGCTTTAAAACACAGACGTGAGTTTGCATCCTAGCTCCACTATTTACTGAGTAACCTTGAGTGAGCCGATTTAACCCCCTGGGCCTCTGTTTCTTCATCTGTCAACTGTGGAAAATGAAACCCATGTCACAAAGTTGTTCACTTCTGGGCTTGTACACGCTGACCCCAGAGAAACAGGGAACTCTGGCATCATCACACCCATCTTACAGACGGAAAAGCTGAGGTCTGCAGAGAGTAAATCCTCTGCTCTGGTTATCCAGAAAGAACATCACTGTGCTCTGCTGACTGCAGATCCCAGCTCTGTGGTTTGAAAATCCAAGGCGGCATGATCCTCTGCCTGTCGTGGGCAATTTCACAGAAGTGTGTTTGTCTTGGCCACTTACTTCTCCAGGGTGAGAGGCGGGAAGGCAAGCTGTTCCCCCAGCCATGGCTGCCCATCAGCCCGTTTCGGGCAGCACTGGCCATGAGGAACCAGATATAGGTGGGTCCTGACACTCACCCTGCTCTGTCTCTCTCACCAGCTTGGAGAGTTTAGCCCGGATGACAGGTGTGATGACCAATGACAGGAAGAGCAACCCATATCCTGTGGAGAAATAAACACTCATCAGGAAAATAGGGCTGGGGAGAGGGGTGTCCAAGGGAAAGGCAGCAGATCTCCTATCCATACCCTATATGGGGTTTAGGTTAGACCCAGGAAGAACTTCCTTGATGGTGAGGGTAGGGAGACAGTAGTCAAGGAGGAAGGGAGACTGCCCTTGTCTGGGCTTGGCCACCGTCTAGCTCTCATGAATGCTAATTCCCACTGATTGCTTTCTTGTCTGAACCTCTTGTGGTCACAGCAGACATCACCCATTCATTTGGCACTTAGTAGGGATATGGCAGGGCACAGAAAACAAGCATGAACTTTGGAGTCAGCCCTGAATTCAAAACCTGATGCCATTACATACTATCTGTGTGGCCTGGGGTACTTAACCTCTCTGAGCCTGACTCCCTGTATGAGGAAGATAATAAGGCCTTCATCACAGGATGGTTCTGAGTCATAGGAGGCTGAATAATGGTGCCCAATGGCATCAGGTTCATAGCCCTGGAACCTGTAAATACTACCTTATTTGGAAAATGGGTCTATGCAGGTGTGATGAAGTTAAGCCTCCTGAGAGAGTGGGGTTATCCTGGATTAGCAGGTTGGGCCCTAAATGCCATCACACATCTTTATAAGAGGAAAGCAGACGGAGATTTGGCACCAACAGAATGGAGAAGGCACAAAGAGGAGGAGAGGCAATGTGAGCACAGAGGCAGAGACTGGTGATGGCCGCCCCAAGCCAAGGAATGCCAGCAGCCCCAGAAGCTGAAAGAAAAGAGAAACACGTTCTCTCCCAGCACCTTGCAAGGGAGCACTTCCTGCTGACTCCTTCCGTTCAGCCCAGTGGTACTGACTTTGGACTTCTGGCCTCCAGAACTGTGAGAGAATATATTTCTGTTGTG